GGGAAAGCTCCGACACAGTTTAGCCAGAGTGCCTCAGATCCAAACCGGGAGTTGCCCAATCACGTGTGAGAATGGCTCCCCACACCTTTAGGCAGGAGGATCCTAAGTTCAAATACTAGCCTCAGCAATTTAACAAGGCCCTAAGCAACTTAGCAAGACCCTGTCTCAAAATAAAAAGGGATGSGGATGTGGCTCATTGGTTGAGTGCCCCTGGGTTCGGTCCCTAGTACCAAAAACAAACAAAACAAAACCCCCAAATTTGCAGACTATCAAAATAGTACTTCTGCCAAGGGATTTAGGGCCCCAAAGGCCAGACCTATATGGGTTATAAAAGCATTAAATTTAACCATTATATACATATATGGGGGRGCCCTCAGATTTCAATACCCTCTTGACCCCCTAAATCTTAGGTCATCATCCCTTAGCTGGTCCTATGGTGGGAAAATTTGCTGAACTGTAATATGAGGCATATAATTCTCAATAGGATTTTGGAGCCTTTAATAACCTAAAAGTTCTGCACATGCTTAGCTTCTTTTCCTTTTCTGTGGAGGCTTCTCTGTGATATTTGAATCTCTGGCTAATCAGATTTTCAATCCATGAAAATTTCTAAGTGGTCAGTTGCAGGGTCCCTCCTGGGAAAATTCACTAGTGGGTATAAATGCCTGAGACCTGAGGGAGGTAAAGGAAAAGTAATTTTCTTGGTTTCCTTAGATTTCAAGGAGAGTCAGAGATAAAATGAGTTTTAATTCAGTTTCAGAAAAAGATAATACATGAACTTGGATTAGAAAACATGACATTAAAAGGTTTGCTTTTCCAGAAATGCAAAAACAAAACAAAACAAAAACCTTCATTGCAGTTGATGATAATTTTCTTGATCTTCCTCTTGCTATATATCTTCTTCCCGAAATATCTACTCCAAGCACCAACTCACCCTCTTTATCTCCATGTAGCTGGGCCTGGATAATTCCCTACTCCTACCTATCTCCTTTCAGTCACACTGTGTGGGTGCTAAAGGCCTGGGCTCTGACCAATGAACAGAACTGTCCTTTAAGCCAGCAACCCACAGGCAGTGGCACCCAAAGCYTCACCCCCAGTTCCCAGGGCAGAGGCTACAGAGCTGGCATTGTTTCCACTGTCTTGGGAAGAAGGAGCCAAACGCTGACCCTCAGCACAAATCAAAGTCCAACATGGAAAGAGAATAAGGGCTCCTTGGCTCAGAGTAGGCTGTGAGCTGTGGGCAGGAAAAGGGAGTTTTTGCAGCCACTCCATCATTAGAAACAAGGGGAAAACTGGACCTTTTTTTACTATTGTGGTTCTACAAGCTACTCTTCTGAGTTCCAAAGGGATCTGCAAGCACAAAAGGGTTTAAACATATTAGGAGAACTTTGTTCAYTGGAGATAAGAGTGACTGACAAACAGGAAAGTAAATCAATGTAATAATTTGTAGGAAGATGATGCTGGGATCTTCAGTTCTTCACATGGCTGCCAGCCCCAGAGAGGACAATACAGTAAGAACTAAGACGACCACTCCAGACTGGTAGAGTTGGGTAATCTTCAGGCCTTTTCCTAGGTCCCACATCTGTAGAAAAAGGAAAACAATATTAAAAAAAAAAAGTCCCCCCCCTCCCCCAGTACCCAGAACCTGGTCATAGCAACTTTCTCAAAAACAAATTATCTATTGGAATAGGCACCTCCTTTCTGCGTGGGGAAAAGCACTTAYATCTTCAGGTTTGACCTTTACGCTTCTCAATATGGTACTTAAAATCCACTTATCCCAATGACAGAAAATCAAGTCCCACTGTGTGGTGGTGGTAAAAAGAGTATTCTCTAGAACTGCCACAGAACCTTCATACAAAAGCTTCCCCACAAAACAGATAAACCTTTTTCTCCTGTCAACATATGTAGACAACATAAATCAGTGTTTACTGAACTGTGTTTCTCCACAACTTGTTCTGCATAATGTTGTAAGGCATTATATTGAGTGGGGGGAAGTTCCATGGTCATATARATCTGACAAACATTTGACTGAAAGACTCTCAATTTATTAATGTGTACCGTTAATCTTGAAAAGGGGGATACAATATTCATGTATGGTCAATCACAAAATTCCTTTTTAGAACATCTATCAGAATATTAGTATTTTAAAGAATACTCTGGGATCTAAAATACCGTTTTTCAATTTTGTTTTGACTATGACTCCACTAATATCTTCCAAATTGGAACCAGGTAGTAGAACTCTGCGTATAATATACCAGAAGTTCATGAAACAACAAATATTTACCCACACTAATGTGTACTGCATTTTATATTTTCTATTTTGGGTGGAGTAACTCACTAAATTTTCTACCCACCTAGYTGAAACCACACTTTAAAAAACACTAGTCTAAGTTGGGCACAGTGGCACACTCCTGTAATCCCAATGAGGCAGGAGGATTCAAGTTCAAGGATAGCCTCAACAATTTAGTGAGGCCCTTGGCAATTTAGTGAGCCCCTACTCAAAAGAAAAAAGACTAGGGATGTGACTCAGTGGTAAAGTGCTCCTGGATTAAATCCCCAGTACCTAAATAAATAAATATATGAGTCTAGATTCTTGTACTCTAGGGATATTAACATATTACACTCTAAATTACTATAAGAGCCCCTGGGGGAAAAGTAAAAGTTTGCCCACAGTCTGAATTTTATAGACTCGTATAAAATTGATTAAATTGAAGACACTTTGGGGAAAAATTGTAGAGAGACCCAGAAAAAAAAAAAAAAACAAGGTGAAAACATTCCTTTACCTACACCCCCAATTAWGTTCTACCTAAACCAGATTAGGAATCAAGCAGATTACATAGTATCTGTAAGCTGTTTTGCTTACAGAGGCAGTGTTGAGTCCTACTGGGTGGTGGGTAGTAGGAAGGATATTCTCTACGATGTTCCTACTCTTTGACATCAATATCTTTCTTCATTCCCCCATTAGATCTTCCAACAAGGCAAATACCAAGCTCAGAGGCCAAACACTAAACACTGCCATAGGAAATAGTTAAAATGCTGAATCATACTCAGAGCTAGTACTTTTTAGAAGAAAAATTTTAAATTTAAAGGCTTAAGAAAAGCCTTTAGGCCAGGTACAATGGCACATGCCTGTAATCCCAGTGGCTCGGGAGGCTGAGGCAGGAGGACTGCAAGTTCAAAGCCAGCCTCAGCAACTTAGTGAGGCCCTAAGCAATTTAGCGAGACTCTGTCTCAAAATAAAAAAGGGCTGGAGATGTGGCTCAGTGGTTGAGCACCCCTGGGTTTAATTCCCAGTACAAAGAAGAAAAAATTTTAAAAAAGAAAAATGAAAAACCTTTAGGTTCATACATCTCTTACCAAAAAAATTCCTCTCATATGCAGGAACCAGGGCAGAAAAGTCCTGAGTTCCGGAATTCTGTAAAACCTCTCTCCTTGTAACAGTGGTCCACTTTATGCTTTGAATATAGCCCTTGCTGCTCTGCTACTGTAACTTATTTTTAAAATTGTTTCTTTCTCTTCCTCTCACCCTGCTCCTTCCTAATCTCTCCCCCTCCCTAATCTCAGGGGAAACAGAATTACCTTTCTTCCCCATCCCAGGCAGTTATCTGTCCCTGAGTACATACCCACCATAGGAACAAAGTAATCCAGACTTTGGGGATGGTACCAGAAGATCTCAGAAATGACTATCTCCCAAATGAACAAGTGAATTACAACTCCAGACAGAGAACACATGGAATGCAGCCTTTGAATCACCACTTTAAAAGCCTCCTGTTCCTGGTGATGGGCAGAATCACAGCTTTTGGGACAGGAGTCCCCTATGTTTCTCCTTTGCTAGCAAAGCAATAGACCTTTTTCCTTTTTCTCAAAACTGTGTCCTCATTACTAGATTGGTATCAGACACAAGAACTGAGCTTTTGGCAACATCCCTTCCCTCTCCTTCTCACCAGGATGTGGATGGAGGAARCTGATTTTCTTTAGAGAGCTTTGTTCCTTGGAATAAGAAGTCATTAATGGAAATGCCCTTCCTYCCCACTAACTTTCCCTCAGGGAAGTGAAAAGTCATTTTAAATCAAACCAAATACTACCCTAGGGAACAGTTAATAGATACATTTAATTTAATAGGTCATTARGTCTGTTTTATTTATTTATTTTTTTCTTTTATTCCATTGAACCACCTATAGGAAATCTGACAAGTGCTGCATTTCTCTAAGACTCTAATGTGGAAGGCAAAAGCATCTACCTGACACTTGGCTCAGGTTTAAAYGTAATGGAAAACCAGATTTTTTATTGTTTTGTGGTACTACGGAATGGACCCAGGTCATTCTACAACTGAGCATTACGTCCCTAGTTGTTTTTATTTTTTATTTTGACATAGGGACTTGCTAAATTGTACAGGTTGGCTTTGAACTTGCAATCCTTCTGCCTTAGCCTCCAGAGGAGATGGAATTACAGGTGAAAAGAAAATTTTAATTGCCTTTTTGGGGAAGGATACAAGACTAGGAGTAGGGAGACTGACTTAAAAAGCTTAATTCCTATATTTRTTGATTATTTTGGGCATTGGACATTGATTGGGGTTCTCTACTACTGAGCTAGATCCCCAGTACTTTTTTTTTTTTTTTTTTGAGATAGGGTCTTGCAAAGTTGCTGAGGCTGGCCTCAAACTTGGGATCCTTCTGCTTCAACTCCCTAAATTGCTGCTGGGATTACAGGTGTGCACCACTGCACCCAACCCTCTTCATTTTCTTCATGAGAAGGACAGAAACACCTGTTCTGAATTGACACCAAGGCCATATAGGAGGCAACAGGAACAGTCTACAGTCCACTAATAAAAGATTCTTAAACCCAAGATAAA